AGCGAATTAAATCTGTACAGGCCATTTTGAAGCAAGGGCTCTGTTGCCAAGTGTCGCAGGAAAACGCATCATCGCTGTTTACCAAGTCCATAGCGGCGTAGCTTAGGTGAGCGCATTGCCACGCCAAGTATGAGCATGTGGCCATAGCCGGTTCAGATTTCAACGTTGGGGTGTGGTTATTATGGCATTTGTTACCATGCCGCTTCATAAATCTGTTGGAGTAAAACCCAGTTAAATCGAGTAAGACCCGTTTCAGGTAACGCCTAATTACCCAAGGAGCGGATGAAGAAAAAATACAAGCAAGCTTCGTAACAACCTCTTCAAAGATTAGTTTCTTCAATGTCCTTTTTAGTACAACCCAGTGATTAGCAAGTAACATATCTGTGGTAGAGGCTGGAGCCGACTAGTTAATAATATCGTATTGAATAAAATTCGGGTATTCGACAAATTTGTTAGGTTCAGTGTGCAGTTGCCGTATAGGCATATTTCTTTTAAATCAGCGTGCGCTTGCATTTCGTGAGGAAGTCTTACTTCATCGTAACAAAAACGTTATCGACATATTTTAGAACCTTATTTGAAGATTATATATGTGTAAAATAATAAACTCCATAATGAAGAAGGTACGAAATGGTGCGGGCTGAATCCCTAATTAGCTAGTCGCTATTAGTGATGATGCATTACCTTCAGTCCTCAGTTGGTCAGTCATTAACTAAAGCCTAATCCGCTATGATTATGCCAATAGAGCAGTTCGAAATGCAGGCCATTTCGAACTGCTCTATTCGCGTGTGTTTTGAAGGCAAGGAAAGGCTTCAACATAAGGCCTGTTTGTTGATTTGTAATGGCCGAAATGACATTTATCTACGGCGCAAATAAAATGCTTATCGTTTTGACCATATAGCACAATACTTGTCTGGCAAGTGAACTGAAACAGCCAGAAGGGAGGTTGTCAGAAGTGTACGCCGAAAATAGGCAGAAGTGTACGCCGAAAATAGGCAGAAGTGTACGCCGAAAAAGAAAATAGGCTTTAGCTATTCGTGTGCGCGCTCTACTGCCGTGAATAACGCATCGTACGTCGTGTCACGTATTTGCTTCATTTTGCACAGCTTCTCTGTTGCTGTTTACTTTTTAGACAAAAACTAAACAACATAAGGCCGTTACAAACGAAAAAAGTTGACCAAACTAAAAACCTCCTATGCTACTTCCTAAAAAATAGCCTATCAAAGTTAGACAACTGTTTTTTTATGCGCTGTAACCTGGTAGCTTCACTTCGTTCCAGCTTTTTGCTTAGTGTATTTTCTTTGCCCCTAATTGCCCGAAAAACTTGTCCAACTAATTTCAGGCTTCGCCATCAAGCCTCAAAGGTCTTGTTTTTTATACGCAGCAATAGCAGTAGCCTAAAACTATACACAAAATATAAATAAAAATAAAATAAGCTCACTGTTGTAAAAATTTGCTCTTATTATTTTCTCTTTTTGACAAAATTAGATATTCAAAAAAATTATTATTTGGGAAAGATGTACGATTACATTGACAATTAAAGAGTATGCCTATGTAGCTACGGTGAATCAATGGCGTCATGCTTGCATATAAATATACATATCGTGTTTTGGCTGTGTAGCAAACCAGCCCATTTCAAAATACGAATTTCTTGTAGATAGAGAATTATCATTACTGTTTTTAACACAGATTCAACAAGGTAACTAGCCTTTTATACGTCGAAAGTTCTTTTTTTGTCTATTTTTGCCCAACTTTTTGAAAGCTTTAGTTTTTTAAGCGTTCAGACATTTGGATTAGTGCTCCTCTATACTCTAAAATGAACGGTTTTATAGTGTTGGCAGCGCTGAATTCCGGATTCTAGGTTTAGCTGATAATATCATAACAGTGTATGGGCCAAGGTAATATTCCTCTAGAATACCTGAAATGCGCAAGTATCAGGGTGGGTTATTAAGTTCGACAATAAAAACCCATCGAGACTTATTGACCTGTATAGAGTCAGGACTGATACAAATGTTATTCTTCATCAAGCATAGCTATCTTGTTAAGTTCCGTGGTCGTTTTCAACTAGAATTTGCGTATACCTTTAAAAAAAGTATATGCGCTAAAAGGAGACATGGAACGCTCCGTCGAATTAATCTAACACCACCTATATATTGCTTAATCGTTCTATTTTGTAATATGAAGGTGATCTCGGTCGATTTTTGTTGAAACACGTATTCTAGATGTCGTACGATTTCGCTATTTTCAGTGGTACACATGCTACTTGAGGTAGAGATAAAGGCTTCGTAAATATTGAGTAATTTATTCCGCTTCGTAAGAGCCGATAAAACTAGATTCACGCAAGACCCACGTAGTTAGAGCGCATTGAAAGGAACCGCGAATCAGCTGGGTCGTGAACGCTTTTAACTAACGCTATTTTGAAATTTACGTATAAGATAAATCCTAAATAGTTTCAGATAGTAAATAACGAAATAAGCTAGGTCGATGACTGTAAATGTTAAACCTATTAATTTAGCTTCGAATTTGTGTATCAGTCATGGGCTTCTTGTTAACTAACGACTACATTAAAAGTAAACATCGATAAAAACCATAGATAAACTGATACAGCCTTAAATAACGGTACAAGCAATGTAGCCATGAAACAAATCAATTATACAGTATATAAGTAAAAACAATTTATCTCAAAGCAGGATAGGCTTATATAAAGTTACTGCTCTGTCACTGTTGAATTTACTGAAAAATGTAGTATAGAAATATCTTGCTAAATTAAAAGCGTGAATAGCAATTTTCAAAAACGCAACCTTACAAGTTTAGAGGAACATTAGACAAGATGACGCCATTGGTTATTATATAAACAGTACATAAGAAGAAAAGTGCTCCAAAAGATAAAAGTTTCTTCAAAAAAATTAAGGTTCGCCCAATATATGTGTATAAGTATTGCTTAAGTAAACGTTTGAGTGTTTAGCTACATATTAGAAAGGCAAAGCTCACAGATAAAATTAGAATTATCATAAGAACTCATATTGTTTATGTATATTAATGTACTTTGCCCGGTGTTACAATAACTTATTTCGTGAATATTTACCAGTTTTAGGTGGCCAGTGTCAGGCGCGAATACCATGTTCCCACCAAAATCGATTATAAGACAAATTGAATAAATCACTGGTTGTAATTATGTTACACGCTCTCTGGGGTAACATTTGCTAGCCACATTAGAGGAACAAATGGCACCACAAAAAATTTATTATATAATTGACGAGGGACTAATTTGGATAAAATGATAAGCAAATGGGGTTTTGCCTTAGAGGATTTTACACGGGCGATGACGTTGAGCGGTCCGCTTGCCGTTATTTCGTGTCATTTTCGGGAATCGTGATGTCTCTATCGCGATGATGGTAGCACAATCATTATGCCATACAACCTCATTTTGATCCAACTCTATGATAATCAGTCACTCAGCAGTTATGTAAACGAGTCACCACTAGAACATACAGTTACATATGTCTACATATGACGACTGTGAAAACGGAGCCACTGAATCGGCAATTATATGCAAGAACACCGCTGGTAAAGATCGGATCGATTCTATAGAACTAAAAAAAAAAAGCAATCGATAGTGATTGCTTGTATCTCAGGAGTACGCTTCATCGGAAGTGGAGTAACGACCTATAATTGTCCCGTATCGACTCTGAAACCGCGTATCGCTTAAAGGTTAGCAGTCTTTCAGATTGGTTCGATCAGAGTTTAACTAAATTCATACATTGTATTATACTAGGGAGCAGCAAATGCAGAGGCAGCTTAGTATAACTTGTAAAATAAGCTTTTTTTTCTTTTTCTTTTTTTTTTTTTACTGCTTTTTGACTCTTCGTGCTGTATACGCACTTTTCGGAAATGGCAAGTCTAGCCGAGGCGGGTCATGCTTAAATTGTGTGAAGTTCCTCCAGTAGACCTACGAAACAGCACAGTGACCCCAGCGATCAAAGCCAAATCCTATTCGAAAAGTATGTACTCATGAAATGATAAATACCCATGTTAGACATGGTGCGTAAGCTTGCTGCTTTTTGTTAGAAACTGATCTGTGATGTATACTTTTTTCGTTTTACTGGCAGCGGAGGTTCGGGGTGTGAAAAAAGCCTCTTCCAAGTGACGTTTATCGTTCTTATGTCTGATCTCGGTTCAGGTATGAGATTCATACAATATATATATATCCTATTCGTAAGAAGCCGTGTGTTTCACATAAATCGTATAAAGGGATAGAAATATGTTTAATTAAACAACGAACGTAATACGTAAAACTCACAATAGAAAACTAGTAGAGACAACAAATTTACTTTTCCTAAGCAGTAATTTATTACTGAACATTTAACATCAATTTCCTAATAAAACATATCTGATGGAAGGCTTACCTAGCAGTTCTATGTAAAATGTCTGCAGAATCTCTGTGCACAGAAAAAGTTCCGTTTAAACGTTGATATAGTCGAATCCTCTTAAATTTGGAGTGACTCTTCTGAAAAATAAGCCTTCGATTAGTGCAGGTTTCTCTAAATACATATATGTTCTATTAAGTTGCCTTAAGACACCGCTAAGTTTGCCTGATTGATAATAGTTTTAGGATGCAGTCTTATTTGAGTTGGCATTGAAAATCGTAAGCAACCTACGTTATTACACACTAAAAAAATAATTAGAAGTGCATATTTTCCCCAATATCTATTTGACCAAGACGATACAAAGCACTTAGTCATTTTAGCGATCTTCACGCATCTAAAAACAGCAACAAGCTATCGCCAAAAAGCGCCAGTTCAGATTTTTTTCTCCTGGGAAAAGGGGACACGTTATCGATAAACTCATTTGTGAGCATTTTCGAGCTTCTGAATTTTACTGGAATCAACTATTTGATCAAATAAAAAGACCCGTTTATTTTTTGTCTGAGGACATGTTATTTATTTTATTTACTTGAAAAATTAAAGTTCAACTTTTTTTTTGTTTTGCGTACGGTATCTACGATCATCTGATCAGCATCTATGTACATAGCTGGATGTATTCCCTTTTATTCATGTCGGCAGTCCCCCTCGTCCTTTGCCATTTTACTCGTGCTTTGTTTGTCCAATTCATTTTCCTGCTCATATTTATGTCGCCTTTATTATCATCATCATCATGCTGGCTATATTTAATGTATTTTTTTTTTAAAAAAAGTGTTATGGTTTAAATCAATAGATGGCCGCAGAGAAGTTCGGCTCCCGTTCTCTCGTCTTTCTACATTTGACTATAATTGAATGAATCCTGCACGTCGTGGGAGACGACTGTAACTCAGGATCTGTGCATGTGTATGTGTCTCGGTATGCTTAAAAGGAACACATTGATATTTGTTACATGCTCTCATCTCACGTAACCCTTGTCAACTATCATCAGTATTCTTCTTGTTAAGATTTTTATTATCACTATTCATCGTATATTAATTATCTAGTATACAACAGATTATCATAGCCTTTTTCTTTCTCTCGTGTTAAGTATTTTAGCGTTTTATCGAACATTTGCCATCGACTAGCTTTCGTTATTGTCGAAACCGGCAAAAAAACTAGCCTTTCTTACATTGTTATCTGTATCTTTTCCATGATACGACTACGTTTTCCCTTCACATCTATGCTCGCTTGTCTTTTGTGCTCGTTCTGTCCTTCCGCATGTTAAATCGAGGCTAGTTACCTTCCCGTTACAGATTTTTTTCCCATTGTTACAAATAATCCGATCAGCCCCGATGTGGCCGTTGCTGTTTTGCAACTCGTCTGCATTGTGGCAACTTTATTGTTGGTGGTTTTTTCTTCATCCCTGCTTTAAGCGTTATCTATACGAGCTGTATAAGATACCTAAAATTGGACATAAAAAAAAATATATATATAAGATCATACGAGCATCTTCAATTGTCAGAACGGAATCATTCGAATCACAATGATAATGCGCTTTTAAACGATCGTTCACTGAGATCACATTGTAGATAAAGCCGTCGTCACCAAATCGGCTGTTACTTGTCTTCAAATAATCACTTTGAGCAACTAAAACTGTCATCTCTACCAGCGTTTCGGGAGTCGTTAATCCACTTCTGATCAAGCGTGACGCATCGCGACTTGTTAGCTAGCCCGCAACCAATTGTCGAGATAGGTAAGCGTCAAATATTATTTTATCGTTTATCATTATAATCGACCTGGGCCAGTCATTTTTTTTGACCTTCAGGTTTTTCCAGTTAGCAGCTTGGGTAATCAATCCCGTACTAAGTAGTGTGTGCGCGCACGATTGTTTACCTTATGAAGGCCTTAACAGCCACCTCCGGGTTACGTAGCTGGCGATACCGAAACATGGCGTACAAGCTGTCACTGGCTCCTGCCTAAACCTATGCATTTACTTTGGACTAGTCTTGTTGGCCCAGGCGTAACGCAACAAGCAACATATTCTCGCGTGTCTGTCCCCTCGCCGTGTCCATCTGTTTGTTTGTTTATTTCTATTTTATTATTTGTATGTTTGTCTTCGTCGGAAAGACGATGGCGGAGGTAATGAAGGTTCCTGGTTTTGGCACAACTCAGAGAGAGATATACCGCTTACTGTGCAGCCATGTGCTTCCTACAATTTGTTTTACTGTAATAGTAGATGTAGTAATGTTCCATATTCTGCGAGTGTGGGCGCGCTACCAGCGATCAATAATTTGCTAAACAAATGTGACATGGATGGGCGGTCGAGCAATGCAACACGTGAAAAAAATCGACTACTTATTCTGTGCTTGTCCTGTAATTACTAGTTATGTTCGTTTGTAAGCACGGGATTGTAGTTTTTGCACGCACAAGAATGGAAAAACGATATAATGCAATTTATCCTTTAACCGGAATTGTCTGTTGTGCAATCGTGCCGGTTTACGAAGGTCTCAAATGTATTAACACGCAACGTTACTGACGACGTAGTTCCATCGCGATGGTTAGTCAGCTGATACTGCAATATGATTAATCTTGCTGATGTAGTTGTTGCTTTGTATCTTTCGGGTTTCTTTTTGCTAACAGTTTATCTCCTCTATATATATATATTTACTGTTATTAAAGTTAATAATTATTAACTAAAACTAAAATATATTAAATATAACTAAAATAAAATGACATAATATGTAGCACTTACAACTCCTTGTCTTGTCAAGCTTCTTAGTTATATCTACGGTTTATGTACACCTATTTGTTTCTATCTGAAATTTTCCGTCATGTTTGCTTTTACCTCTTGTTTTATATGTTCGTGTATGTTCCGAAATGATATCACCACCGCACAATGGCCATACTTACTAGCCGTAACGTCATACCTGTTCCGCTGAGCCCTTACCAGAGCGGGGACTAAATATTTCAGCCCCACGCCTCTTGCAGTTGGTGACGGTGAAGTGTGATGGGACCAGAGATGATTTCTGTGACAAAGGCGACCGAGTCCCTTTGTTTTACTTTCTTTTTGTCTCTGGCCGCTTGTTACTTTTCCATGTATTTTCTGCGTTGTGTTGTGCTGCTTTCGGAAGGTTATCGCCCTCCCGATACCCGTCCGACCCACTAGGTCCCTATTCTAGTACAAGCAGCTATCCTACGTCCGAATACACACACAAATACAAATGTCGTCGCCATCGCCACTCATCTGGTCACAGCCCAGTTGCTCACCACAGACACACCGGTTAGCATTCACACCTGACTACGACCGCTTAAAACAGAGAGCTGACAAATTTCACTCGGCCTGATGAGCAGACATGGTATATGGGTTCAGACCCAACAGGAGTTTTGTTTTCCCTTCGTAGCTAGAGACGACTTCCGTTATCCGTCTGTGTTCTATCTTCTGTCCTAGCTCGACCTAAATCTACCTTTTAATAGTGTGCATTACAGTATTACGTTCGCGTTATGTTCAGTCTTCATCCTTCTCACTCTACATGCGTATACGTTATCTTCTCGCTGGTACGCTCGTGAACGCATTAATGACGTTGCTTATATTTCTTTCATTATCGCACTGTACATTATATATATAATTCTGTAAGTTTGACGCTTCAGTGGCCATAAAGGTAGACGTTGGGCTCAATAAGCTTGTGGTGCCGCTGGCCGCCAGGTCATCGCCTCCGATTTTTATAGACGTTGTTCACACAGGGGTGGATGCGTTCACGTCGAGCGGATGTTTCGTGACTCCACCCATTAACTGAAGAAGAAAAGAAAAACAAAAACAAGAGGAGGGAAAGTAGATGAGACGATTGTCAAAAAACAAATTAAACGAAAACTATATGACAGGCAATAAAGCAAACAAAGAAGTCAGCCCTGAAGTCTCTACTCCGGGTACCGCTGTGTAAAGCTTAACGAATATAGGAGCCTAACCCCATAACGCAGCTATGTGTTTGATAGAAACTGGTCACCCCACCGGGTTAAAGGCCTTGCGGCCCTTAGAGTAATCGCACATTAATTACAAACAACTAGGAATTTGAATCTCATATATTAAGGTAATCAATCATCTTCTAGCTTTTATTTTTATGAAGGTACGTAGTAATTCAATATCAGGACTTGGTATTTCTAGTCCAAGAGTATCTATCCTACAGCGTACAAATGTACGCAATTCTAGATTTGTACGTTTAGGAAATGTTTCTCAGTATACTCTATGTTTACCGTTGCACATAGACGTCGTCGGCCATCAACAGTTTTTGGATTACCAAGCCGGGGAAAGGTGAGGTCATACAGGACACTGTTTTCTTCTAATTCTAATAGTATTAAGCTTTTTGAATTTTCGAAATGTACATAGATCAGAAATTGGTGCGATTCGTATCGTTGGATTTTTTATTTGTGGTCAAATTTTTGAAAAAGTGGGGCCATATAATCCTATCTTGAAAATATGAGCCCATACAACTTCTCTCATATGGAATAGCTCTATTGAGCTATTCCATATGAGTTTATCGCATCTCATCGAACCTATATTGAATGATAAAAAATGAAACTAATCAGCTCATTTCTCTGTCATGATTGTGCCTGCCGAGGAGTAGAACATGACATTGTCAAAGGCAATTCGAAAGCGGGTTAGGCTTTATAGACAAAGCTGACTACATTACATACCGTCCTGGAAGGCTACATAGGCTGTAGTGAGAAGGTCGTATAGGCCATTTTTGCCTAGAGCATATATAAAACCAGCAGCCGGTGATGCTAATTCTACAGAAAACGGAAATAAATGGCCTCAAAGTTCAACTCAGCTTAATGGAAATGCATTTTTCAAATTTACCTAAGGCGTCGTACTTACGCCCTATTTATACTGCACGTCATTGTCATAGTCATGGATCAGATTTTGTCATTGCTGGCTATTTACATAAAATTATACATAGCCCTGACAATTATAGGGACTTCAGTGTGGTCGAATCGATTTTGAAGAACTGTACATACATTTATACCATTTTTCCTCTCTGTTCGGATAAATTGCACCTCGTGGATGTGCCACTACTTAAACTTCCCAATGCGCAGCAGAACTTCGCGTGTAGCTATCGCAAACGAATGATAATCTGTCGAGCTAGACAGTAAATCACTATAAAGCATTGTATCTTTTCGCCAAGATCACAGCCTTTTCGAGAAAAACGAAAGCTACAAACATAAGCTCTACCGAAGTAAGTTACTTTTTTCACAGAATTTCTATCTATGCAACTTTTATACATGGACTCGTAGCGTTTTGACGTCTCGCTAGAGATACACACACTCTCTTATTGCATCCCTGAATTTGCTTCGCTCGCGTACATCACATATAAATACTTGACCGACGATGGTTCATATAGCTTGCCACTTCAATAATATGTACGGCGCACTTATCCGTTTCTTAACCTACGAAATATAGGTTGGCAATTATGTCGTGCTATACTAACGACAACATGTGGGGGCTTACTATACGTATTTGTATTTGACTTCTACCTGCGTTATGCTTGATCTACGTTTAAAACGCTAACATGGATGAATAAACTGCGCCATTTTGAATTATTGAGCCATCATTACTAAAACACTTGCCACTTCGTGTCATCATCGTTGCTATTTTATACCCGTGCTTACCCGTTGAGTGACAGTGGCCGTTTGTATCGTTGGTCCGTCAAGCAATATCGGCGTCTGCGTCTGGCCAGTTGGGGTGGACGAAGTCGTCAGAAGCTGATTTGTCGTGTGGCTTACCACATTGGCAGCCTGCTGCATCATGATCGGCGTACGAACGTCTTCGAGAAGGTCGATGTCGCACTTGCCGCTTGTCAGCGTTAGCTGGCCAGGCAAGGGTGGCATTGGTGGCCGATCGAAGACGACATCAGGACTCTGAGGCAACATAGTCGTGGGTTCGAGCTGACCAGGTCCACTAAGGTGGCCGCCAATTGGGTTTGTGACAACTCCGCTCGCCAGCCCGTGCTGCTGCTGCTGCTGCTGCTGCTGTTGCCTTATTCGTACAGGACATAACCGATGGTTGGTGCGTGGTAACGACAATTCGGCATACCTCAACAACGCCGAGTCGATCTGTTGAGAAAAATAGAAGCTTTTTTAATAGTAGAACAATACAAATTAAGATGCCGGATGTAGCATCCGATCAACGTACAATTATAACACGTTGGATACCCACTAAGGACCACAGATATTTCGACAAGCCCACTTTGGAGAACGTGATAGAGACACGAGCCCGCATAGACTATGAAATGCAACATAGGCCCATAGGTCTATGTGGGCGTGTGACTACGTAAGTATCATCTACTACGTGACTGCGTAATCTATCGTCATCCTGGCGTTCTAAAAATAACACAGTAAGGTTGACATAATATTACGGTGTTATTACGACGTGATGTTTCGCGAACACAGAAAGCAGGTGAAGAGTAATTCCCAGCTCTAAAGAAGTAAGTTTTACACATTCAGTACATGAATGCACCCTTTCAATCATAAATCATCGTAGGCCTGTAACAGGTCCTGCGCGTACCTTACTGATCTTCTACTCACTTTATTGGTGTTGCAGAGCGAATTCTGCAGTTGTCGACCACCGTGCTGTTTTGGGTTTCGCATAGTCGCCATGTGAATTGATAGGTCTTTCTGCCCACCACCGTCTAGGCCAAAGGGCAGGTCATGGTTTCGACCAAGAGTCATCGTCATAGCCTCGGGGCCGCCAGGACTCAGGGGTCCGCTTATCGACCCCATCGTTGGCAGTGCGCCACCTGCCGCAGCAGGATATGTGAGCACGGTGCAATTGCCACCCGGCGGGCCCCCGCGTCGATCTAAAGGCGTTGTAGAGCATGCACTGCCATCGAGGGAGAGGTCATTGCCGAGGCACGAGCTGAGCGTCGTTTCGACCGCGACCTGATGGCCGTACTCTAAAATGTATCGTTGGTACGCAAACACATACACATATACCCGACACATAACACATTATTCTCTGGACCGATTTACAATCCACCTATTTGACGTCGAATGACTTAATAACTAACAAAAAATGGAAAGAGAGCAGCGTAATAACTATTTTACACAACACTTCTACCAAGACATTTCTGTTCGAGCGAAACTTTTTTGCAAAACATATTTTTTCTACAACACATAGATTCGACTAGATATAGAGTAGAGTGCGCGAACGTGTAATATACAACGGTTTCAAATCCTACGAAGACCGCACGAGATAGAAACAGAAAAGTACACAATAAACCCATGCAAAGTGACCTAACAAGCGTCTATTTCTTTTAAGGCCGAGTAGTTGTACCTGCTTTCATCTATCTAGGACAATGCTCTGTAAACGGGTAGGGTGTATCGCGCCATGTTTTGGCAACGGGTCAAAAAGCTCGAGGCTAAAAAATGCTGCAGTAAAACATTACACATGTGTTAGTTACACAAAATGTATGTTACACAAAAGCCGAAAGATAAGCACCTGTATTGCTAGAAAAAACGTATGCACGTGCACACCGGCCTGACTGACGTTACCTAATTCCGTTTGATTGCTCATATTCCTTGTCATGTTAAAAAGCTAACTGTGTTTTTCTAGTTATTAACAGCTACTGACCTCTAAGTGTCACACCATTATATTACCGTTGCTTTGCTATTTAATCGCATCAATGTTACAGCTATTATTGTGTTGGCCAATGCAACTTTCTTGGGAATTGATCGTTTTCCAAGATTCAATGTGTACAATGCCGGGAAGCACCCACCATGTGAATTGTCTGGGGTGAACGATGTAATGAGCTTCTTGTTTTGCACTTGTGTCAGCTGGATCTCTTCGGGGGGCGCTTTCAGGCTTCGGCATGATCCGCTGTTCCTGCAAAGGCAATCATGTTGACGACCAAATCGCTAGATAACAAGTGGGGGTGGTTGGCGGCGACCGTTGACATCGGTTGCATACCCACACGCACACACAGGAACAAAACTAGTATTACATAGACCACTAAATAACTGGAACATATATTAGAAGATAAACACATAGACAGTCTCATTCACAAAGCAGAGAGAAAAGCGCAATAACGAGTAGCCCGTTAGGTCGGGCCGGACCGGACCGTACCACGTTTGTACCAGGTACCTCTTTTATTAGCAGAATTGTGACGGCGCAAAGCAGCAACGTAACCTCTCGAACCAACAGAGCGTGAATCGCTCTGCATGTACGGATAGAAAGAGGAGAAAGGGAAGAGGCCAACTACTGGAGACCCCCGGTGTCAGGGCAAGCTACAGCCATCCGCTTCTGCACAAACCGAGAACGACAAGGCCAGCTGCGAGCGAGCAAGTAGAAGGTAATGTTACAGCTTTTAGACGATAGAACTGCGTGAGCCACTACACAGGGTTGTGTGTGTGTATATGGGTTTTGGTGGCATGTGATATCGTTCTACGGAGCAAATGCTGTTAACCTCCCTGCAATAATGGCCTTTTCCTGCTATTGGTTTCTGAATGAATGTACTATTAGGAAGACACGGCTTAGAGATGAGACCTTATAGGTTTGGCGAAGACTTTGAAAACAGCGTGCGTTTGGTAAAAAAATTTGGGTTAAGGGTAGCGCCGGCGCTCCAAGGTGATTTGCGGAAGCGAGAGGCGCCGTGTGGACTCACCCGGCCAGGCAATGCCGAGCAGTAGTAGCAGAAGTAAAGATATTGGCGGTGACGGCGAAATCATCGTTGTTGTCACCGTCGGCGAGAGATGAGACGCACAAGGATTACAAAGGGTAATCAGAGAGACACGGGCAGCCAACGAAGTAAGGAGAAAGTGAGACAGGGAAAAGTGTGAATAGATATTGGCGAAGAAAGAAGAAGACAAAATAAGCGACGTGAAAGCGTAGAGGGACTAAGCGATAGAATAGGGAAAACACCGCGAATTTATATCACGCGAATTCGGGGAACATATGTGTGTATTGCCGAGAAAAGGGAATATCAGAAACTGCGAGTGGAGAATGGATAGCAGAAAATAGGCCGCTGGGTTGTAAGGCTGAGAGGTAGTGCGGCTCCTATAGCCAGTACTATGCTGCAGTGATGTCCAACGCTATAGGGACGATGAGGTTCAATAGCGTAATATCGGCAGACCGACAGACGATGCAGAGCCGATCGGATTTGGTGGAAACAGTTGTAGGATGTGGATTGGCGTTAGGCCATGACAGGAGCCGTACATGGGAGTCTTTTGCTTCAACAACAGAGCAGTAGCTGTCTGCACTTCATCCTTTTATCGCAAAAACGCCTTCTTTCTCTATTTTTTTCTATTGTACGCCGCTTATCGTCGAGCTATCCGCATAGAGCATGTAGTACAGGATGGAGTTTGTGGTAACTACAGAGCAACTAACTCTGTCTGATGGTGCTTCCTTACATGGTTTCTTCTATGTAATAAGCGCGCTTTTCTCTGCTAGATATGCATACGGTCACGCAAAGGAAAAGAACCTTCGATGGCTTTGGTCTCGTTCGAATAAACAGCTCTGAAATTAAGTATATCTGTGCTAAGAGTACTTACTTTTCGTTGAGATTTGTCTGCGGCGGATTACCTGTAAACGTACATGAACGAGAAGGCAGAGTGTATAAGCACTCCGCAGTATAAACTTGAACGTTTTCATTATGTCTACAAACGTAAGTTTGGTATTCTGCTCTATAACGTATGTCACAATATTGCTTAGCTATTACAAACGCAGTAATGTATGCGAACAATTGCCAGCCATTACTTCGCGTATTAAAACGTTCCGTTTGCCTGTTCGCGTTCGAAGAGTTGAACGTTGAAGAGTTCGAATGATTGGAGATACTACTGAGCGAAGCAATGTAGATATGGCTTCCGACATGAACTCACGCTGAAGTAGATATAGTGCTAATTCAGTCTATTTATCATATGAGTCGATCGATAAATTCAAAATTCGACTACTGACTTACCCTTTTCGAGAGCATCGCGCCGACGCATGATAAAGATCACGATAACAACTACGACAATAAGCATAGAAATACCCGCAACGAGCGAGAGTAGTACCGGGCTGAAGAGCGATGACAGCAAATCCGAGTCAGATAACTCGTCATCAGGGGCGGCCACCGTCGAAGATATAAATGAAATACTGCATGGGTAGGTCAGACGTAAACCAAGAAGATTAAGTTTCAGTTTTAGTGTCAACCATTATACCGAAATTGCGCCAATTAAAATAAGATTAGCCAGCTATAAGAAGCAATTATAAGATTATGGTATCTAGGCGGAATCGCTGAAGCTGATCGAATTTTCACGAAACACGTGATGTCGTTGGTAAGCATTTTCTATGTCCAAATTTAGTACTATGCTACTACTAGCCAAGTAAGCACTCGCTCGAGCTATACGAAATTCTGGTTGCCACCATATATTATACAGATGTGATAGGAACTCTTTTTAGAAAGAACCACGACAGAGTAACTGTGCTACATCGTTTTTGAAGCATCTCAGTGAAGAGCAAAAAAACAAAGTAAAAAAACATAAGAAGGCAGGAATAGCAACATGGTCCTTGGCACGGCGATAAGATCCACTAATTGGTACAGGTTTTGTTGAGCGCCTATTTAAGCACAAAAAAGCTCCATATCTTTTTCAGGACTTTGATCGATGCAGACGCTGTCAAAACTATTGTCTCCTACAGTGGTTCAGTGTCGCCAATCAGCCGGAACCGAAGTGCTGGCTAGAAAGCAGCCTATGGCGTAATAAACTCTGGCGACCGGTGAAGCTTACCGCCGTCCGTCCCGTTGATCAGGAAACGGGGCCCAGTGAAACGTAGACGGTGAACAATTGAGAAACGGAGCAACTGCGACGAACAGCCGAGTGGCCAAATCCAGCAGAGCCAACAAAGGCTATAAACAGTACGGCGACTCTCCTTTGAAGAGGAGACTGGGCGATAGTGGTTCTGCCGTTGTTCCGGAATCAACTGAAATCTATATATAGGGAGAGTCGCTGCACTGTTGCACGAGGTAAGAATACCGAGGGAGATGCAACGGCAGCGGCGCTAGCAGCCGTGTGACAGGGTACCCAGTTTCAACCGAAGGTCGTAATGAGCGACCAGCGAGGTAAAAAAACGGACACTTCCCTCCAAGTTGTCCTATTAGATCAAGGCTCCTCACGTTCGTTTACTTGTACTGCTAGCAATAGTAATAATAGTCGAAGTGGCTAGCCGGCAACCGACGTCAGCCTGTTTTCTGTGTATTTTCGAGATGTGCGCGAAGGCACGGCCTAATCAAAGACTTCACACGATTTACGCGGGTATACACTCAGTAGCACTGGCTGGAGTGGCAACCCTAAAGGGCGCCGTGACAAAGAAACAACCTGGTATGTTATGTGCAGCAATGGCGATTACGGCAGGAGCAGAGGAATATTGTGCTATGATCATCTGTGTTCTGCTATTCTACCTGACCGCCAGCTCCTACGCTTAACAAAAAATGAGCGTGAGTATGGGACACTACTCAACCCGACCCCACAGAGACCGATTATATTTTTTTTCGGGTATTTCGCATTATATGTCTTGCTGTAAGGTGCATTTTCTGGCTGGCTAGTAGACTGTTTCGATCGCCGGCCATCAATGGGGACGCGGTCATCGATTTAGCTCCTATAAGATGGTCTTGTTAATAAGAATGACCCCGATTAGGTCAATGAAGAATAGAAGACCAGGACTTGAAACATTGTATATGATCGGCTGGTTACACGTGCTAAGCATATGCTGAACTTGTTTTCTAATGATCTACATTTATTCAACTGATAGCAGAATTCAGGTCTCCTTTGTCGTTCAATTTATGTCAATAAAAAGCGATAATCATAATAGTGAAAAAGTTCACTTTTCTCTATTATCAAGCAAATATCCTCTATTTCTTAATAACAATCAAGCAACCCTTATAACACTGTTATGCTTTGTACACAAAAGTTTTGCTCCGTCTAGATGGTCCTCGAAGTTCACTTCACTTCACTACTAATCACTATTTAGGAAAGAGATGTTACAGGTACGTACGTACGGACGTACATACACGTAACATTATAAAAATAGCTCTTGACGTCTGCCAACAGTCACTTAGTAACAGTCACTTCTCAAAGATTCTTTTTTGTAGTAGTCGGCAGTATACGGGCCATAGAATTCGGTCCGCTCAGGTGGTAAGCGTCAACGTTATTGCCGCGTCATTTTAGGGGGTATAATCGTTATATCCAGTTCTAATCACAGCCGTAATTCATGTATTCAATCGTATTGATATGTACTTACGTGTTAGAGCGTCCCTTGGAGTTTGCAGCGTAAAGTAGAAATATGTACTTGGTGTTTGGCGCTAAATTTGTAACCTGGAAAACGGGCGCATCTTGCTGTGTCAAGTTAAATTCGAGATATTCCTGAATAAAGTTGAATATCTCGAGGTGAAACGATTGGCGAAGCCCGCCTGCCTCGCCGGGTTTACATTCCACCAGAATGGTACTGAACGTTTCATTGCTGGCAGAGCAAGCACGTAGCTGACCCGGAGGACCTGGGCAGTGGGAAAGTGATCGGTGAGCCAATGATGTACTGATGTTGATCATGGTTCTCGTGATGATAATGGTGATGGTGAGGATGATAACGCACACATGCACACCTCTTTCGCTCGCTCGCTCGCTCCTATTACAACAAGGCACCACACAGACTGGAGAACAATAGTTCTCGACATACACGAATCAATATTCATTTCCATCGCCAACTATATACATCTGTTCACAGTAATCCCTGTTCGGAGCTTATGCCGTCCTTTTTATTCGATCACGAAACAGACAAAACCTTTTTACTCTAGGCTGCACAGAAGGCTAATGCTGAGCAAATGACTGGCTATCTAATAACAAAAACTACCATTGCAAACGGCTCGATTGGGAGCACGCTCGCTTTTAGAAGCTGACTAGATGAAACTGAATCAGGCATGTAAGCTCTGATCGTGTTGCACCGTAGCAATGCAATATCAGAACAGAGGAGATTCGCCAAAATCTAGCGAGATTAGCAGACTTACATATAAACGTCTAAGTAGTTGAGCTGTTAGTTCAAACACTGGACGTTTCAATTCTCTAAATTGCTATCTTGGGACTTATGTAAGTTTTATATTAAAGTTTACATAGGATTTGAGATAAGGGAGATTAATCGTGATTAATCGTTACCACTTATGGGCAAGTACACGTGAACACTCATTGCCAGTGTGGCTATACTGAGGTTCTGATGGCATGGTGGCCACTAATGCGCATACAAGGCGTGAATCCTGATGAAAGCTAGTTGGCTCGCAAGGTATGCTAGACCTCGCAAGGTTCAATGGTTAAGCTTTTATTTGTGTTATCTCTAGATTTCGCGAATCACTTCTTTGCCGTAAATTTAGAATTCATCACGAATCGAAATAGTCTGCCGTGATAAAGTTTTACGTTCAGACGTTCGCATGTACCTTTATCTAATACTTACTAGCAGGGACAACGTGATATGCGCAGGGTTCCTTTTGGGTACCAATCTGATTACTAGCCCAACAGTATAGCGTGCCGTATGAGTTGGCGTATCTCGGCCTATACGTGACAACCGATTTAGTTCCGTTGAAATTAAACGTCTTCACATCGAACAGTTCGACGGAGTTGTTGAGCGCCCATTTGAAGTCTGTCGGCGGAGGGTCAGATTCAACCTGTGTTGTTTTGGCGGAAACAGAAATAATTAGCGTTGCTCTGCTAAATACCCAAACAATTAGTGCGCTATAACTACCATCACTATTAATTGTCTATATCACTTGTTGCATCCTGCCAGCGTTCTCTGTCGTTTTCCCCTACCGCAGGCCATCCAGCCTAGCCTCTGCGAAGCAATAGCCGTGAATCTTTTATGAAGACAAGCAGTAAGACCATTATCCTCTTCTCTAAATCCCAGCAAAAGTATCAATAACAACAAAATCTAACAAACCGCAGTCCAGTAGCTGTGGCAGGGTAATGTCCTGATCAAGGTTCTATTCGCGCTGTTACTAAGAAGCAGCGACTGTCCCCTCACGCCTTATTGTAAGCTCGCCCATACGCTTTGGGTATTGCGAAAACTATTGTAAGTGAATTACTAAAAATGGGAATTAAACAATGTCAGAGAATAGGTTAAGTCAGACTATGCAGTTTACTTCTCTCGGGATCGTTAGAGGAAAAGGATTGCCCAACGAGCCGCTATTAGCTCTACGGATATAGTTATTGGCAAGATATAAAAAAAAGAATAATATTAAAGCGAATCTGGGCGAAAATAGTAATCGACGATAACTGCTTTTCTATACTAAACGGTAACGTTGTAGTACAGCGTAACAAAAAGACTGTATTGGGAATAGCTTCACGGGCCATTGAGCATTACATTTACATTATACTTACGTGGCACGGTATTTCGGCGTCTTCGTCCCTGGCGACGCCGTAGATGAGGTTCTGCTTTTTCCTGCAGACGGGGGCATAATGAATACGCAGCAAGATCTTGTCGCTTTCGGCTTCGCCCTCGGAGTTCGATGCCACACACTGATAATGGCCCCGGCTTTCGCGGCGAACCTTTTGCAGGACCAGTGACTGGTTCGTAATTATGATACCTATCGCGGTGGCAGCGACATTCATTGTAGTTTTAGCAGTAGTAACACCAACAAAAACAACAAACGAAAACACATAAAGCGCCACGATCAGGACAGTTCTTGTTGAAAACATAGCACCGACAACAATTTCATAGTGAAGTTAAAAGTGGTTGTACGAATATGCATTATCAAGATCGGCACGAGGGAGCGCGCTCTATATATCAAGACCGGGGAACGGTAACTGATTTCTTCAGTAAAAGCGACAAACGTGAATGGCAACAGGAGGCTGAGATCCAACGGGGACTGTTATTAGTAATTGGATCGAGCCTTGCTTTGCGCGTGGCTTGGTTCCGCATCGAATCCGGGAAAAGGTAATCGATATTATCGCCTTCCTTTATCGTCTCACCATTGTCCTATTCCGGCGAAAAGAACGAAAGGGAAACACTATTCAAGTTGTCCTCCTTTTACCCGCACTCCAGAAGAGTGCGCTCTTATGTTCATCTCTTACTGCGTACACCATGTAAATAATTCTGTTATCACTGGCTGCTTTTCAAAGATCAGGGAAAATGTAGGGCAAAATTACTTGTGTAAAAAATGACCGTTGACAACCGAAAGTTAGCGAACGTACTGGAATAAGTTAATTTATGTTAGACGAGCGTATACGCATAGAACGCTGTTAACATCTACCACATCTAGCAACTCATAAATTAGTCTTTTTAAGCGCAACTATGATTTACACTATTGATAAAATCAGTGAACAAAGAACAACAGAGGTAAACGCCTGTATTTATGTAAATCGCTGTGTCGGAAAAAATACAACAACGAGCGTTTCGTTAGGGATTCCCTTCGGTTGGTCTTTTTACCCTGGTGTTTGTCAGGATATAACGGCTGACCCTCGAACTTCCAACCGATCTCGGTGACGGGAGGGTTGGCTCGTATCTTGCATTCGAAATATACATCGCCCCCTTCGTGCACGGACGGATGCTTCATGTTGGCACCGATCGACACGTCCAATTGAGGGACATCTGAAAGAGACAAAGTTGCACAAGCGAGACTGTCAGCGATAGACGGGGTCCGCAGTAGTAGCCGTCCCATCAGCTAGACAGTGAAATAGTGTGCCACAGATAAGGCAAGGGTGATGCGAGTAAGAGAGAGCGAGAGAGAAAGGAAGGGAGATAGCTAGAGAGAAAACGCAGTGGACAACACAGGGGCAGATCCACACAAACATTAGCCATCTATCTTGCTACCTACCCTGTAAACTGACTTCTTTTAGAGATAGTACCGGTCATGTCGAGCTACTCTGCACTCGAAAAGCCTAGGCCTAGGGAATCCCTGAAGAGTAGACAAACCCAGTTTTCCCGATACCAACTCCGGAACCGTTCGAGCTTCGAACCCTGGGTTTTAACCCTCAAACAGGCGTCCCTTTCCTGCACTATCGCGTCTCTGCAAGTGAGGCGTCAGAGACTAACTAACTCCGCAGCTCCGGACATACCACCCAACATACATCCACAAACTTTGGGTTATGTGACAAAGTTCCGACCCGCCCAGCGGGTTCCAGTAGACTGAAAGCGTCCGACTACCTCATGCTGGCAATTCGCTGCCATCAAAGAGTTAGATCCTCGTTTGGCTAGTCCAGCGTTCACTACAGCTCTCCCGTGTCTGTCCAGCGCCAAACATTTCGACCGACCTACCGACCGCTTGACCAATGACCATCACCGCACTACAGCGAACGAAACCCGTTTGCAAACACCACGAGGAAAGTTTCTCATAGGCTTTACTCCCTATTTTTAACAGGCCATGCTTAGATCACTTGGCATGAGCGGCTAACACATTGCGTAGAGAAGAACGTGTTGAGGAGAACCGAAGCAATGAAAGAAAAGCCTACGGGTTCAATAAAAGGTCAATCAATTTAATGTCGAATTTTCGAGAGGCACAAATATGCTTTGAACAGCATCATTGTTGTCGTCAGTACCATAATAATTGAATAAGTTCTAACCTAATATAAGTATGTAATGAGTCTAGCGAATAATTTCCAGAATTGCAACATATAAGTGACCATCTAATACGTACTGTGCACTGTACTTGGATAATTAATAAGCCACAATAGCCAACCTATTCCCATAGTGATAAGCACAATTTGCCCGCCTGTGTATACTGTTGTGCAAGCGTATTCTCAGTGCTGAATATCGTTAACTTAGAATAGAATGGTGATATGACCTGCGAGCTTCGTCCCGTGCCTTCTTACCGTTGGTTTAACTAATGTGACCCATTGATATCACACTCAGCTCCCATAGCCCTGCTCCAATTTGACGTATAGCCTCATCGCAGCTGCCCTAACTCTAAGAATCCCGTTGCCATATAGCAGCGACCCCGTTCAGACACATTTTTCGAACGTTGCACCTCGCACTCGTTTGTGCGTTCTTTGTACGTTTCGGAAACCAGAAAGATTTCTAATACAAACATACTAAAAACACTTAACGACTGCGGAACAAACCGGTCGACAATACTTTGAATGGCTCAAAATTGGCAAAATACTATTTTTTGAAAAAAAAAAAAATATATATATATATATATATTCAATTAATCATTAAAGCTTCGCGCACAGTCTACCCGAGGATAGAACTGTGTTTGCTTACAAAAGGCTCCACCAGAGCGGTCGCTACAATTTTTCTCGATTAGACAAATACAGACAGACGCACACATACCGATTTGCGGCTGATATTCGTATTATAATAGATAGATGAATAATTCTGTCGGAGATGCTATATAGCCATTAGGTCACGCTATCACCCAGTCAGTGAGCCTTTGTAATAGCAAACTGTTATACTTCCCTGCAAGCCGGTTGCCCGGCAGACCCTAAAATGCTAGAAGGCTTATCCGGTTCGAGCATTTTACCATCTTTGTTATACATGGCAGCTGGATCATTAAGCAGGGCATTTATGTGCCCTACCCTAATCAATTTCCAAGTCACCTATTTTAGGAGAGCGCTGACTTGACGGGAGGAGCGTTTGCAGCCAGCGTCGTCCTTGTCCTTGCCAATCTAATAATCTCATCACATCGTTTGAATAGCGCCTGGATGGCAAGGTCTGCTTTACGACGAGTTCGTAATATCTGAGAACCTGTTAATGTGGATAAGTTACGGACGTCTACACGTCATATCTATTAACTATTATACTATAATATCATCTGTACTCGAAATCTTCGACTGAGTAAATTTGTTCTGTAATCTATTCTAAATAATCAAACTCCTATTAATGCTCGACCAAACACATTCTAACCAGGGCATAGCTAAGTAATTGACCGAAGCATCTTATAGCGTCTCAATGGTCGAGCATTAATAAAACTCGGCTCTATAGATGTAGTGGTTTGCGTATCAATGGACAGAGACGAATCTCATTCATATTTTTTTACACCTTGGCAAGGATGCCATGCAGTCTAATATCTTTCCTCTTGAGGGAATACGTCCTCAAGTATCAGCTATGTATAAGGTACGCTTAGCTGATACGTGGATTTCATTGTTCGACCTTACGAAATTATTATTATTAGCCAAACGGAGCCTACAGTTAACTAGATTCGTTTATACCTATCCATATCTTCAAATCCGTGAATGAACGCGACATCTAACGTAAAGATTAACGTAGCCCGATTGCAAACTTGTTATCAGAGTCAGTAACAAACTATTACCGAGGTAAAATCATCGGAGCTAAGACTTCATGTAATTCCGCATACTAAGCAAACGCAAGCCGTATCATGGACGAGTTTGCTAGGCCATGCTTCCATCTTATGGTAACTAAAGGCAGGTATCTTTTGTTCGATATATATATATATATATATATATATAGAGGAAAGTCATTGAACATAATGTACTTACAATGGATGTTTAAGGTCCAGCCATCCTCGAGACTGGAGTCCGAGAGCAGGGGGTTATCCGCACGGCACGACAAGAACTTCCCGTTGTCGTGGATGCTCGGCAAGAACGCCACTGTATTCGATGTGTAGTTGTCGACTGTAAATATAGAATGCATACGTTTGTATATTTAGGTCAAGCCATATTTAATGGTGAGATGTAAGTTATGAATAATATTAGGAATTAGAACGAAGTTTATCCGGTTCCCATTCTACAGGACAAAGTGCTAATTTTTTTTCGGGTAACTAGGATTTGATGAGTGACAAGACGCTAACAATGGCATATTGTACGACCTAGGCCCGCATTGTAGAATGCAGTTGGCTCGAACAAAGCTAATAGTTGATGTTGGAAACCGCCATGAGAAACGATATTCCTGTAGACCTTACGATTAGTTTTCCCATCTGGTGCATGCAACAAACAGGAGAGCACGTTAACTGGGGACTCTGGGAAGGTCTCAGAGAACATTGATGATGCGTGCGTTAGACCTGTTAATTTTAATTAAGTTCAAATAAAAGGCTGTGTCGAATAGGAGCCGCTACCACGCGTTAAGTCTTTAGCCACGCGAACACAAAGCTTAATTTTACTCAGAGAAACAATTGGTCCATCGTTTCAACAAATTCAATGTCCCATAACGCTTACAAAATTTCTTCAAATCTCACCAAATAGTAGGTTTTAATGCTTCTTAATATTTGTTGAAATCACTTATACAGCGATCTGGGCACCACCGAGCGTCTGCAGGGCGGGGGCAGCTTGCCGTTGAAAAGGACGAGATTGTTACCGGCTCCCACCCCTTATTGAAATTTGAGTCGATCTATAGGGAAAGATGTAAGCGTCCCACTATCCGGCCAATAATTAATTAAATGGAAATTAATCAGCAACAACAGCAAGACCAATATTCACATCAATTTTTCTGCTAGTTCAGCAGAGTCAGGCCCTCATCCACACGCAGCCTCTTCTATTGTCAGAGCTACGAATGAAGACAAGTGTTGAAGAGCAGCTTGGTTCAGGTGACTAGCTGGCATCGTTCCCAACACGTTACTACAGTGACCATGGCCAACAGATATCTCGGCTATCAATGATTTAAATTTCAGCGTTGCCAGAGTATAACTAAATACGTAAGAAGGACCAAAGCGAATGAAACGATATAGGTGCCCTGCCTTCTCGTGGATTCATTAGGGAGAAGCCAGATTAGTTCAGCAGGACACCCTGGCGATCTTTGAAACAATGTCGAAAGATAATTCCGAGGACTTATCCATATCAAAGGATAGTTGAGAATCAACTCGGGGTTTGGGCTGGCCGCTGCGGATTTTTATTATATTTTGTGTAATATCATTAGATGAGTGAAGGGTGCCTGGCTGTTCCACCACTTGACGTTATTTCCTAGCTACCTACGCTGATACGGGTGAAAGCCGACAGGACACCAACTTGCTATGATACTATAAGCCGACGTCTAGAAACGTTTCAGGGTAATACAATAGATCTAGCCATGTACAGCTATCGTATGGCGTAGTTGCATAATTGCGCGTAGATACCGCATTAACAAATACATGTACTATATACTGAAGAAGAGCTGAATCGGACTATATGCAGTCCGGTAGATGGATTTTTTAGAGTTAGACACTAAATAGCTGGTTATTTCTATGCCCCTGTATAAATCGTTAGCCGTCCTCCTTGGACGTTATGCTAATATTATAGAAAAATTTTATAGCAATATTGTGAAACATGGTTAGACTTAATTAATCAAATTTTTGCAGATGTTTCAGCTCGAAGCGTAAAATATGCCCGTGAGAAATTACTACACGTATGAACATCTAGAGAGATGACAAAAACGGGAACTCAACGATGTGCGAACCGAAGGCACATACCTAGCACGGATTTCGGCTAGTATCAATAAAACATATGTACCTTGTATTCATATACGTACCGTCAGAGACGTTTTCGCGAAGGACGCTGAGCCTTCGTTGACCAATCCACCAGGTTAGTTGGGGTGGCGGTCGGCCTCCTGTAGAGCGGCATGTGACCTCTGTCTCTTGGCCCGCCGATAGAGGTCGCTTCATGGTGCTGATTCGTACATCGAGTGGACGCACTGCAGCGCGAACAAAAAAAAAAAAAAAAAAAAAAAAACTCATTGTTGAAAGCATTATTAATAAAAATGGTCACTGGTACTTTACATTGACATTTTCCAAGCGCTTTAGTCTTATCGAATTTAATAAGCGTTTCAAATTAGTCCGCTGTAGATAACAATCACTTCGTCATCAAAGCAAGCAGTAGAAGAGGTAATTAATGCAGTGAACACCATTATCAGCAAGAGATTGTGATACATCCGAGTTGATTCAGTCTAAATCACCACGATATTGGTAAAGTATAAGAACGAGGTTATGATTTCTACGGAAGGTGGCCCCGTGTGTCGGATAACATTTTTGATTGTGTGTGACTGGCGACCCAATCTAGCTCTATTTAGGTCACTGTAAATGCGCATTAACCCATACGGCTTTACCAACTGTGCGCTCATCCTACTCGATCACATTATAAATGGCTGTAGTGATCGAAAAACCGAATCAGTCTCTTCCCCTGATCCACTCAGCAAACCCGACCGCATATAGATTAAATTATCGTCTGGCAGTGTGCCCTTCACATCATGCAGCTACATCTTTACATAGACATGAGAGGCAGTACCCATATTTAACTATGGGGAAAAATTCTGACGACCCATTGTGGAAACTGCGCATTGTACATTACTTCTACGCGAGTAATTCATTTTCCGTCAGTCGGCTGCGGCGGATTATGGATAACTTCCAGGAGGTTGATAACTCTATTTTTCTAAGTTGTCTCATAAGGTTTAACGTGTAACATATATTGCGTCTGTGACTGACGTTGCAAGAAGACTCGCATATGTATTACGTAGACGTGGACTAGCTAAGTTTCACATTGTTACCGACTTCCTGCCAGCGCTAGTATTACCGCCGCAACCGTCATGGCGCGGATGGATTGCGACGGATATAACGAAGCTTCGTTGCCCACTACTGCCGCCGCTGCACCAGAAATGTAGACAACGAAGTGTTTTTTGTACGTCAATGACTACACACTGTCTCTAGCACAAACGATAAGGTATGAATCCGGTAGAAAGGATAGAAGCTTCTGAGTGATTGTGGCGAGCAGGAGCTGAATGGCAGCTATTTACCGGGAGGAGTTGAAGCGGCGGCTTTCGCAGTTCCACTAGACATACGATCCGTTTATTCGTCCCTATATTTACGCTTACACGCTTACGATGCCCTTTTCACACAGATCAGGCAGAAATAACGGAAAAGGCAGACAGATATAAATGCAGGTAGCAGGTGGCTCATGTACGAAGCTGCCGCCGTTGCATTTGGTTTCCGCTGCTGTCTTTTTTGCGTAGACGAACGAAAAGGAAAGGGTGTACGACTTCTCTCCTAGTACTTCCTCCGCGGCGTAACAGCCGTGGAGAAGGGGACACTATCCCTTTGCAGTCCAATTAACATAAATTACACTTTATTACCACTGTCACCCTAGCTGTAGCTATGTAAAGTTAAATGCCATGGTTCGGCGACTAGCCACATCGCGTCCGCCGTCCAAGGCCTGAGCTGACCGGTATCACGTCGTCTACCTAGAGAGAGAGAGAGACAGAGAGAATGAAAGAGATGGAACACTGCGTGTCGCTGCCGCGTATGCTGCTACTCTTGTACGGATGTTGTTGTTTTTGTCACGTAACAAGTAATCGAGGTCAGTACATTTCTCTCTCTTTGTCTTTCTTTCTCTCCCTTGCTCGCTTTCTACCTCTCGATAAGCTAAGGGCGGCTTGGTAGTGATACTGACGGCGCCGGAAAACTCGAGGCAGCCTCTAAGTCCAACGACTCAAGCTTAGGATGGTAAGGTCATACTGTGTCTGTGTACGTTTGTCGCTGTTTTTTCTCGTAAGCTGGCAGAAATTACCGGGGACGTATCGAGCCGATAAAGCGACTTTTGTGTTTCATTTGTTAGACAAACGCGCGCCTTCCCATTGTATAATCACAAACACTTAGTAGCAGCTCGTGCTCTGCCGGCAGATAGATATTCTCACAAATAGTGAAGATCGGTAGTCAAGAGTTGATGAGTCGACTGTTGTTCGTTTTTCCGCTTGGACGGTTTTGTTGCGGGCCATTAGAGAGCTTCATAAGAACATGAAGTCGCGAGCAATAAAAGCACCAAAACAGCAGCGGGAAAGAGGGGTGAGTGAGTTTCTATCCAGCAAAGATGGCATTGCAATGGGTTGCGGTTCCAGTTCATATGTAACACTGAATAATTGCAGTGGCGTATTGCACAGTCTACGAGGCCATGGAGTATTATTGAATTCCGTAGGTGCTCGCAGACACTCAAACGCGGTAGCCACTCTAAAAATCAATTGTCTACGCTGGTTAGAATATATTTGATAAATTTATGTGGTTCATTTATGGCCACGTATGTTGTTTCAGCGCTAGTTTACCAGGACAGTAGTTGATATTAAAGCAGTTCATACCGGTTTTTATATGTCGAGTTATTAAATTTTGCAGCCATCAAATAATGTACACGAGACAATTCTCGATACAAAAGTACATTCAGGAACTGAAGCGTCCTCCGAAGTAGTGATAAAGCGGCACCTAACGAAGGCTTGCTAATATAGCACAGAAGAGGCATAGATATATAGCATTTGGTAATAAGGCTGGATCTAAACGAGTTGGTCCGTTTAAGCGCAATCAAGTATCTGGCTAGAAAAACCATAGCGGCTGGATAACTTGGCGTTACTTTGAACCCACCACAGTGAAGTGTACTATAACCGCTCTATAGGGCTGTGCTATCCCCAGCCTCGCTGTTTCTAATACTCTTTTTGGCCCTCGTTCTTTTATTGACACGATACACCTTTGAACCTTACAGGCCTTTACGAATCTAGTATTAGCAGTTCCATCATGTGAGATACTACTAGGGAACGATACGGCCTACTCAACAACAACTGCCACTACCCGAGTCGTTCGTGCTTCGGCTCGTTCGCGTTTGACGTCCGCATCTCGTTTGACCTTCGACCTCTTTTGCGTTCTCATACGACGAGATCACGTAACGGACTTCGCCTGAACGTATTTTATCCACTGCTACTGCTATCAGTATAATGCCCGACCATGGTGAAGATTGGTATACCTATGGTTTTAGGGCCTGCTCAGACTGTGCTGCTTTTGGTACGGGCTACATACGAGGAGGTAGCCAACGACGAAAAGTCTATAGACAGACGTTGGCGATGAGGAGAACGAATGCTACTAGGCTACAAGCAGGTAAGATCAGGGGCGTTATTGTTGACGTGACGTCAGGAAGGCTATGCTCATGACTTCAGGCACCTACCTTTTTCTCTTAAATATCGCTCTATGTGTTTGCCTCTAGTTTATTCGATCTTGGTCTTCCTTTATACATTCAAACTTCACTGCATTCAACTTGCTGTTAGAATCTTCATAGATAATAAAATGATCTTTGAAGCATTGACTTGGAGGAGAGTTAATCCTGACATCACACACCCACATATACGTATGTGTCTCTATTCAAGACATACGAATCTCACAAATTTATGTTTATGCATATATGAAACTTGCATTTCTAGTCATGATTAAAGATCATTTTCTCGAAATACTGAAGGTTGCAGAGAGAATGGTTAAATTTATTATGAAATAAACAATAAGAAGCATTTTCAAAGACGGAGTTAAAGTAAGAGCACGACGACAAGGATCTTGTTGAGCTGAGAACAGCCTAGACGTTTATATTAAATATCTATGCCGATTTCCATAGGTGCGACGATTCTAAAGGGAATTTCAAGGAGGTTTCAAGATAAGGCGGCACACGGCTGCTTAGGTAACACAACGAATGCGACATAAGCCTTTGCTAATGGAAATACCTGTTCATTTTAAATGCGCTAAAATCGACATGTCCATAAGCCGCGCACTCGTTAAACACTCGCATACAAGTGCAGGTTTTATTAGGGAAACGGCCTAATCCGATTCAACAAGCTTAGGTGAAATTCGCACGCGCCAGCATCAATGTTGAACGCAGTATCCTCTAACCCTCATTCACTGTCCACTGACGTGTAGTGTTAGCATAATTGCAGCTTTTCCTTCGGCTACCCCCGACTCTATTCCTGACTTAGTCTGCTATAAGTCACCTCTGCTCTTATGGCTAACTGCGGGTCCTCAACTCCTACCCACAAACGGCGTTTCGCTGGGTACAGTCTGAATCGACGCTGTCGATAGACAGACACAGCGATGGGTTAGTAGTCGGTTGCGTACAGCCGTAATCATTTGGCTAAATGGAAAACAGGGTCCATAGAGTGGAAAGAAAGGCTGCCGTTTGCCCCCCGTAGCCGCTTTCAGTCATTTACTCAGCCCCAAAAAAAAGAAGCAGAAGAGAGATAACAACTTTCCCTTCTTATCCAAGATAAATAATAATGACAGATGGTCGCTAGCATCAGCATGATGAGGTAGGCTGCTTGCTGCCGTGTTAGTAGTCCCGCGAGTTGACAAACGGCCAGGAACATATCCGAGATCGTTGAAAGATTGAGAACTATTTGGCTGGTAAATCCAAATCGAACCTATTGCTTGAAAACAAACACCGTCCGTCACAAGTGGCGACACGTAGTGATTCATTAGCAGAAATACAATGGGCTATTTCGCAAAAGACCATATCGGCCTTTTATGGCCTTCTCAACTATATTCATAGAAGAGAAATAGCAGGGTCGTATATGCAAAGCAGAGCTAATATCTGCTATATGGGCAAGGTGCAATATATATCCTATATTCACGGCCATTCCTGGGCAGCGGTCAGAATGTCCTTTTTTATTGATGGCACTGAGTGGTATCGATAAAGCGCAGCAGTCTAGCTTTATACAGTAGTGTTACGTCAACAGAAGGATTGAAAGGGTAAGTGCCCATACGAATTTTGACCCATGTTGTCGATAAATAATCAGGTCGACACCGTTCACTTCGTAAAATTGACGAGAGTGAACTACTAGTAGTGCTATACCATATAGCTCATGTAGACTAGAAATGCTATCGCTGTTAGTCTAGTTTGAACATGAAAAAACCGTCTGTCTTATGAGACATGGAAACAACGTCTATCCCAGTTCGGTCCTTCGAGCTGCTTGCCGCTAATCATCCATAAGATATTCATTCATTCATTCATTCATTCAACGGTGCTGCCCTGTGCATGATAATATGGCATAGGAATCTCTGGCTGTTGACGTTTTTGCCTAGTCTAACGCCCAGCTGAATCGCTATATGTGCACGTTTAATTTACAATGGAGTCTTCACCACAGTGGCAAAAAGACTAGCAGCAGGGGCAGTTCTACCATAATGATACGCATCCCTAGTGGTTCTTCATGCAACGTGCGTGACGGAAGGCTAGAACCGTGTATGTGTATCGTCACTATTTTTTTATTTAAAGGTCAATACTTGTTGCATGGTCACTGTCAAAATTATGCGTGTGCCCTATTGGTCCACATGAAGTTATTGGCGTACTTTGCTAACTAGGTAGATTAAGTCACAGTCGGCGAAGCTCGATAAAAGTTAGATAGAAATTTACGCGGTGTCGTGCTATAATTATGCACGGAATCTCGAAGCACACCGTGAACTGTAAGGGCATACATGAATGATTCGAATGTTGAGCTTGCTGCACGGTTTCGAAAGTTGACTAGAATCTCTCTCTATCTATCAAAGAAGGTACACCTAAGTTCTAGGCGTACCGCAAAAAAATGATTCCACGAATCTACGCAATTAGTTGTCATCGCAAGCAATTTGTACTCTTCCGACCATTAGAATCTGATGAGTACTCGAAGATGAAATAGCGCACAAGATATATACACTGTCGTCTACCGTTTTGCTTTATGAAAAGTAGAAAAATACGCAGGTTGGCAATAGTATAACTTTACAATACTCACGGTTCATGTCAATGATGACGCTAGCGGTGCGCTGTGTATTGGGATTGGACATGTTGGTGTTCTCGGCTTGGCACGTTAGTGCCGTTTTGAGATCGTGCCGCTGTAGACGTTTGATGACGAGCTCGTTGCTTACAAGTCGGTGGTCGTGACTCTTGTCTGAATCATCTAGGAGCTCCTCCCCACGCCACCACGTTACGCGGGGACGTGGTTTAGCTGAAACAAGCCAATAATGATTATACGATAAAGCAACTAAAATACGTTTATTCGCATTTGAATATCACAATGTTTACTGAATAAATTTTGGCAATAGAGACAAAGTTCCCGCGTATATAGAATAAGGCAAAGATATGATAGTTTTTCCGCTTTATTGAGTATTATTGTACTCTCTGTTGTGTCAACGATACGCTCTATTTTATTTGACTAAAAACAAACTTTACAGAGCAGAAGATGTGTGGTGCGTTTATAGCAATTCGGAAGCTGTAGATAAACCCGGTTCAATTTGCAGATGACCGACAAATTGCCTGAGAAGAGAAAGCTTGCATCGTTATCGCGCCTCTACTTAATTCAGGAAAGTTCATCATCGGCATTCGACCATAATTAGCTTCTTTTTTGCTTCGCTTGACCATCTTGTCATACTGCATTTAATACAATGCAGCTAAAGATTGAATTTAGTTCATAGAGGTTGCGGCCCTTGTTAGATCTTCAGCTAGTCATTGTGAGCCAAAACTGTTCATTCGCAACGATATACAGACTTTATATATATATATATATATATATATATATATATATATGCACGCTGCTCGTCGTCGAAACTAGAGGGACGTAACATAACAGCAAAAACGGCAACATCGTCCATACAAGTGGTTCTAACAAAATATTGCCTACAGCGTAATATAATAGTAGATACACTAGAAGTCTCATATAGATAGGATCGAAGTAAAAGACGTAGAAAATAAATGCATTTGGAAAAAGGGAACGATAGAAGCTTTCTGAACAGAAACGCTGTAAACAGAAGGGGTGGAGGTATCAGGCAGTAGTTAGAAACTCGATGTACCGCCTCCTCTCGTCTTGCTGAAACGGTTAATGACGAAACACTATTGCTTATAAATAGGATCTGCGCGGTATCAGAACCTGTTTTTATTGCTATGATAGTGCAATGTGAAGAGCCTGCGTCGAAGAAGGCCAAACGATATCCTTGCACATTTCATGCCATTAGAGCCTTTGAATTAGCTGGCTAACTAAGGAGTAAAATATTTGCCGTCTGTCGTTGGTGCGCCATCGATGTTTGGTCGGATTTAGCAGGTTTAGGATAGGCGAACATTGCTACACTAAGCCAAAACGCGGGCAAGGTAGTTCACACCACCTGTTACGGTATGATATCTTTAGCGATTGAGGGTCGTTTACACAGCATTGGGTTAGACGCTAGAACGGAATGCGACGATTCAGCCCACTCTAAACATCTTCTAGTTATATGTGCTGTTATCCAAGCACTACCATTAAATTTGCTTTACATCTATCGACCTTCTACGATACTAGATAAAACATTCGATCGTTCGGCCTCTCCATAAAGCAGCTAATCATGTGCGTATTTTCACAGCTTTTTACGCTTACTGTGTACACTATTTGTGTCCCTCGCGTAGGAAGCTGACGTTACGGTATGTGTATATTTGACGCATGTCGAAATATCGATGTGGACCCGATACGACATATCGGAATGAGGGAGCCCACCAAGTAACAGAAAAAAACTGGCTTAAACTTTATAAGTTGATAGAACAGCTGCTATCGACCCGTTCGATCGGATCTCATTGCGAAAAATTCAAAGGAGATCCTGAGAATAGACTGAAACTAAATCAGAGACCAGACTATTAACCTACAAAAACGCCGACTGAAATGTTATATGGCTCCTTATATATAATCTACATAAGCTACGATTGTCTGGGGTAAGTACAGGCTGCGTGTTTTCATAACGATCTGTATATTTGGCACAAATGTTTATCGTACGACAGAAAGGCTGTGATAGATCTTCTGTAGATATAATAGATAGAACTTCTAAACAAGTGAATGAGTCTTACCGTCGGTTGCCTCGCAAATGAGTACTAGATGGGATCCCTCGTCGTAGGGTCCGATGACGCCGCTCAGAATCTTTCCTTCCGTATTTCTGATACGGACGTCTCTCGCAGGTACTGCAATATGAATGAAAAAAGATCGCTCATTATAACAATTCCCATTGTATTGCATCGCATTGACTGTTTTATTGTCTGCCTGAACTGTATTGAAAATGAACATGTAGAAGATGTATGAAGTGCAGGAATACGCATTTCTTTCTTTCTTTGAAGAACAGCTTTCGCTAGAAGTGTAGATTCGTTAGAGAATTTTCCCGTAGCTGTGCGCCACGCATCTTTCATTATTTTCCATTATATTGAAAAATTACACCTCGGCGATCTATGACATTTCCTAATGGATTAGCTCATCTATTAGGGGGTAATCACCTCATACGTTCTTGGTCAGAACGTTGTCTTGCTTGTATTTATGCTTAAGTTAATTTACGTCAAGTCGCCTACACAAAAATTATCGATATTGTCTTGGCGTAGAAGGACAGCCACCACAAGTCACGTACCAAATGTCTAATAACCCAGTCTAATAACCCTTCCGATATAAAACGGTTGGTTTTTAATAGATTTAAATAATAATTTTTTTTTCGGTCGACAGATTCCTATCGAATGTCTCAGTTCTGCAATTGGGAGAACTGGCTTTACTTCTAGCCCTTTTACTATGGATTTGATCCGCTTTTTACGGTTACAATCCACATCTCTTCCTGATTCTTTTCTATTTAAACCAGTTTATAGATTCTAGAGGGTTAAAAGCAGCTTATTCGGGATTTGTTATCTATGTGGATATTTTCAAGATGCTTAAAAGGCTAGCATACATTAGGCGAAAGGCTGCTTTCGTTCGTTCAAGAGGAGACGTCATTTTTTATTAAAACTTACCAATTCAAGATGTTAGTTTCGATTGCAGTAGGATGTAAATGTAAGTCTGACACCATGCCTGACTGTAATATAACTATATGCCACTATACTCCAAATAAAACTTTCGAAGTAGATGTGACTTCTAGAAGGAAATTTTAAATAGCAATGAAAATGCCCCTGAATTTCAATCGACTGTCTACCGAGTCAAGCAGGAATCGCTGCCATGCTAATTGAAAAATTCTCGATCGCTTCCGTTTATTCTTTCCCCGCCATGTTAGCTAGAAAGAGCATATCAAATATCTATTAAAGCTTCGAAAAAGCAGATTATGGTTACGGTCACACCACGCTAATCAGGCATTTTCCCAGTAATTGACGCGTGACGGAAGACAACAGGAGTGGCTACCAGCTATTGCTTCCATTCACTTCAAGAAACACAATAGTTCTACGACTCACTAGAGAAACCCCGTGGCCCGACACGGGCTTCGATCAGTGTCGCGCTACACGAGCACCATTACGGTGTTTACTGCTGGGCAGAACATTCTCCGTCTATAGAGTGAGCATTACATAGCAGCGCGGAAGCATGCGATGCGAGTGGCCACTTTATTCATCTGGCAGTTCAGACGTTTACTGTCTCCGAACTGAGTCTCCTGTTGCTTGAACATACACACACGTAACTGTATTATATAACAAGGCTCCTGTTACATAATACATCAAGGTATTATATGGTATAGTCGTAATATTCAACAACGATATAGACGCTAATGTAATTTTGCAGTTTCTAATGGAAAGGTTTTTCCTAGGCAAGGTTTGCTCCCCTGGTCGTTCAGTGATCCGCTACAATTCCTAACTACTACATAGCAAATGCTATTAAGTAGAGAAGCAAATGTATACTTCAGTGTAGTCAGTCGTTTGCTCGCTCCACTTACCGACGACGTCTAGGTATACAATTCGATTCTGTGTTCGCTGTCTGCTGTAGTCCACTCTGCAGCGGTATTCGCCAGCGTCCGTCTCTTGAACGGGCTCAATTTTGAGCAGGGGAGGGCGAGCGATCACATCGAAATACGCCCGATTATTGTATTCGGCACTAGGAAATGGACGTGCACGCGATAATGGCAAATCCCGAGCATCCAGCGAGTAGATCGGGATGCCACCCCGTGAGTGAGAGTCTCCGTGATACCAAAGAATCAACGATATGCCTCCACTGCTATCCCCGTCATTGGCATCGCTTCCCCTCTGGGGTGACGGCACTTCGATATCGCATGGCAGATGTGCGCGACCGCCGACGACAGCTCGAACCGTTGTTACCTCTGCAAAGCAAAGAAGAAATGCATAAATAAAAAAAAAACAATATGCCAAATAGTATTTGTTTTTATTACGATAATTATGTCTAGCACGTAAATTATTATGCGCACGTAAATCTGCATATAGAAAGAAGCTGCACGATGCTGAATATACTATATGGCCGAGCATGAACTATCTATTTTTGCTTTTTTTTTCCAACTCAAAATATAATCATCCAAGTCGTCGCGTATATACATGCACATTGTGTAGAAGCGATAAATCTTGATAATGATTAGGTGCTATTTTGCATTTATCTAGGAAACAATGAGATCGGTACAACAATTGGTCTGCGAGTTCAACTGCGTCATATAACTGGGCCAGTTAGATTTTTATAATTAAGAGATCTCGATATAAATTTTATTTTTTACTAAGATGATCCCGTTTGAAGGACTCTCAGTTTTAAGGAAAAAAATCTGTTGCACTTTTTTGCGCTAACATTTTTTGGCTGATTTCTAATTTTTCCTTATCTTTGGGTCATCTGTTTTCCGATAACATTCAAGATGGCGAACTAATAATATTTCCAGGTTTTTTTTTCGCTTTCAAGGTAAAGGCGAAACTTCAAGTTTATAATTACCCGGTGTAAACATATTCTAGCGTTGTCGTTGTATCACATACTGCCTTTTTGCATTGTCTGACTGTCATATTATTCCTCACCGGTAATCCGCCTCTCATGACCAAGAGTACCGTTGTCCTTATTACTTTTTCGCTTGAATAGGCCAACTTTCTTTTAATGACTTGGACTTCACTGGTCGGCGGCTGAATCGACGAAAGGATTCAATGTCAGACTTGTGCACAAACTTGGCAGTCTAACGTCCTGTTCCCTGAAGCAATGCTTTTACTAATAGTCATTGACTGACTAATTGACGTGTATCCATTGTATGGGCGCCGAGTTGGGAGCGGATGACATCTGCACGAAATGTACTGTTTCCTTCGCTGAAGATTGTTTTTTTTTTTTATCAAAAATACGCTGGCATCTCCTCAGTTCATGATTCCTATTTTTTTTTTTATTCTTGCTCATCCAGCTTTATGGCATTATGGACATGCGCGTATTTCTCAACGTTACATCTATATAGCACGCGCACTATTAAACGATATGTTTAACGTTTATTCATTCGTCTAGTGCGTATTACTACACCGTGTAGAGCTACGCTCATTTTAGCTATGTTTATTTGTCATTTATACGACAGTGACACTGCACGGCCGAAAGTTTCAAATTTGGGCATGGGCACACTTTATTCCGTCCTGGGAGCCAGTCGTCTGATCAGATACCTAACCGCGGTAACGGACGCAAAGTCGAAAGATTTAAGGTAAATTAAATGTACCCGAGCTGCTGGAACTGATAAGTACTGCTGATCAAACAACAGGGGCGCCGATGACTCCACAGACTCAAATCGATCGCTACAAGTCGCTATGGCTGCTTCCACACGGGCTGCCAAAGCAGCCTGTGTGTTTATCTGGTCCTCTGCTAAAAAGGAAAAATGCTCACCCCAAATTTCGTTCTAAGCTACCTGTCTCGGTACATCTATGTGCGTTATGCTATGTACAGCCACTTCATGCAACTGGCCAAGAGCCATTACGTCGGCGGATGATGATCTCTCACGCGTCAAATGGACAAGTGTGTGCCGTTGATTTTCGCATGCACAGCGTATTCTTGTGTGTATCATATAGGCTAAAATGTGTAAGCAGCTGCGGTAGCAGCCATTCAACTGCGGCCACAGCGGTGGTTTAAATCGAAAAGGGGACTGTAGATAGCGGACGTGCAGATGCTTGGCAGCTTATGCCGACATTTCCATACGCGCGTTGACGGCTACCGCTGCATCGGAGACGTAACAGCTCGCAGGCAACGAAAATAGTAGAGGTATTTTGCTGCTGCGAAAGTGGGACCAGTAATTTTTTTGTCCATCGGTATGCTTCAATTCATACGTGCATGGGTCGAACATAGACGAATAGCGGCTTCCTATACAGACATGTAAACAATGGCAGTCCAATTCCATGCTCGATCTATTCCTATCTAGCCGAGGAATATGCGCCGCTAGCGGAGTCTACAAGCGTAAACTAGTAGGGCGACGTAATCGCATTGCTAAGTTCAACATGGGACCAGTGTTTTTTTTTTGCGCTGACTTCCTCCTAGCGAAATATCTCCATGACGCTATTTCATCTTCAGTAGTAGCATGCGCACTGGGTATGGACGTCTATCTGCCTGTTTGCCTGCTTGTGAGCTATAGCCCATGTGACTAACGTGCCCTGCCTGTACTTTTTGTGTGTATTTTTTTAGGGGTAATATTTGCTTTTGTGCTTCCGCGAGTATGTATATTATACCTAGGTGCACAGCTACTCATATGCTATTGCGTTGCAACAACTGCTAGCGTTCCAGTTGCATCAGTGGCTCGAGCTACTGTTCTTACTGCAACAGCGGCTTGTCTGCTTCTTTTTCGAAAATGCGTTTTCGTCGCGGCTCGTTTATTCGCATCTTCTTGTTGAAATGGGACTCGAGAGAAAAGGATAAGGACAAAGGTAAGGAAAATGAAAGGTGCTTGGTTCGACTACTGTGAGATATACCGCACGCACTCTACTACTGCTGGCTCACGATGCTTGCCCTGGGGAAAAGGACGTAGAATGTTGGAGATGGTATGTACTGTTCCCCACTCCATGGTTGATTCAACTGGATTTTCAGATGCCCCCTTAAGCCCTGTCTAGGATCAGGAGCGGCAATAACAACACTTGTTATATCGGCGTCTGAATCGTACGGACACTATGTGGCTGTATCCGGACTACATATGACGGAAACGTCTGCGAACAACAGGGAATAAAGAAACGGGAAAGTGTCTTGCAGAAAAGGGCGGCACTGGTCAGCGCCGAAAGTTAGGGATACTGGAAGCATAAAGGAGGAAGAGCAAACAGGGGGCGATAGCAATCGGTGTTGGGTGTCTAAGGTTGGTACGTTTGCCTCAGCAACGAAGCGAGTCAAGCCGGATAACGTTATGGTAGGAGGCACTTAATATAAGCCATTGGGCAAAAATACGTTGCGAAGCTGCAGCTGCTTCCACCGCCAACTAGGAGCTGTTAGACCTACGAACAGCAGCTTTATCGGTGAACCCAGAACCAAAGGCATCTCTGCCCAAGTCTCGAAAACCCAGTCGCGATCTAGCGAGCCAGTAGAGTAAAATGGACAACGGGTACTGCTCAGCATGGTGATACGTAATGGCACCGTCTGTTTTACTTGCAACAAATGCTAAGCTCAGGATGGCGCGAAACAATTGGCGGCCGAGCTTTATCGCCCCCGCCGCAGTCGTAGTTGGCACTGACAGCGTCACTGATTTTAGTGCTCTTAATCCTTTTAATCTAATTAAAAATGCTTAAAGATAGCAACCATAAACAGTGGCCCAATGCAGAAAAGTCAGCGATTTGTCTGGATCAGTTGACTAGTAACCAAGAACCATTGTTTTGTCAGATCGATCCAACTCAAGTGATCGTCCGATCGTTGAATTAACTGAGCCGGTGGCGGTGTCTATTAGTTGTTACATCCCTACATATTGTTTGGTAATGACAAGGCTGTTCAGAGCAGACCGAATTGTTGTATGCCTTTAGAGCCACTTAGAGTGTAGCCGGCAAACTCGACGTTTCGAGCTAAAAAAGACACAGAAAATAGAAAAACCGAAAGTGGATCCTCTACTCTCACTCAGCAAAAGCAACGCGCAGTATTGATCTATTGGCGCGTATTCATCTTCTCATAGACGGCTATATAAGCCTATGGTATAATTCTAACTTCGAACAACTAACCTAAGTAATATGATTCGTATATTATTAGAATTTTCTTAAACTTTATATACTCTATCTGCACAGTTACGCCCTTTGTGCTTTATTTAGTAATCATAGATTTTATATAGCGATATTTAAGCATTCCATAACCGTCGAATCTTCATATCAGCTTAGCGCAGGCCAACAAGCATCAATTATATGTATTATCATATTTGCTTCGTAGCGATGTCTGTATAGCTTTTACGTACAACAGATAATTAACTCCGTTATAATTTTTCGCTTCGAATTAGCAATTTTTTACATTTTACTTATTAAACTCTACTTGTAAACGAGCGAACGTATTGTTGTTTGTTCGATATCGATCCTGGTGTACGCATCCGTCCGTAGAGCGTGGCCGTCGTGTTTTTCAAACGTATTTAGAGACGAGCGTCGAGACGTATTATTTTATAACAATAATAAAATACGCGACAGCATGCCTGTGAATCCGTTACGCACTGCAGATGAGTACCACTATATTACCACACCGTACACCACAATATTACGACCATTTCTAAATATATGTAACTCTCTTGTGCGTAATTTAATTCGTGTTCATCTCCACGATTTCAATGGATTTTTTTTTTTTTTTTATAGATAGTAGGCATTTGTAGCGCGTTTTTTGCTTGAAAGCAAAAGATCCGAATGGGTGCCATTTAAAGTCTATATGTACCTATATATATGGATACGTGACAGTGTAATAAAACAGCATATCCGTGCGAGCACACACATAACCGTTAATATGTTGTAGTGCATTGCCACAGAGACATACGCTTCCTGTATGATCGTCAGCTTCTCATCTTTGCCACGATCGTTACATATTAACCTAAAAAGGTCCTATTTGCGGTCATAAGCATATTAAACAAATCGCTATAGATTCTGATGTGCGGGTAGCCTCCAACGGCATAGGATAATAATAACGAAACTCACAGGTTGCAGAAAACAAATTTAACTAGAAGGACAAAGAGGGATGTAGGCATAGTTGACAGACACAGCCGACCTCATCGTAGAAACGAAAAAGGTGTTTATTGCGTTGGTCACTGACGCCGCTACTATACGGAGAGTGGTCATCTCGCTGAACATCTCTTCCTTACTAATAGTTTTGCAAATAAGGGGAACTTATCTTACACTTTCTCAAACAAAAAAGATGTTTCTGTGTCAGCAAACTATG